GGTCCCGAAGTGTGCTCTATTGGGCTTTGGGGGCTGGACCCTAAACCCGCAACCGCCAAAACCGCTGTGGACCCCTCAACCCCGCCGGTCGTCCTCGTTCTGGGTGTCCTTTGGCTTCGGGGGTTATGGGACGCGAGGGGTGTCGGGCTGGGTTTCGGGTTGAGGGTAGCAACACTTAGCCTTAACATGAAACCCGAAACAGGTTGGCTTCAGGAGATAAGCTCGTGGTTCGGGGCTTGCGTTTGCTATGGGGCTGGGTTTGGATCCGGGTTTCCGCAAGTTTGGGTGGGCTATGCTTAGTTCAGGGCTTCGTGTTTAGGGCTTCCCTGGACCTCTGTTTACCTACAATTCCCAAAATTTGCAGGTATAACCCATAAAAACTGCAGGTAACGAGGGTCCCAGGTATGAGAGCTTCAGGATCTAACCCTAAACCCTAAAACCCTAAACCCTAAACCCTAAGAAGCCCACCCCAAGTGTCTCGCCAGAGAGAGAAACAAAAGCTGACGTAAGCCGCAAGCAAGGGCCTGGCATCTTAAGGGCAAACACCGGATATGCAGCAAGGGTTTAGGGTTTGGGGTTTGGGGTTTAGGGTTTGGGGTTTCGGGTTAGGGTTTAAGGTTTAGGGTTTAGCGTTTAGGGATTCGGGATTAGGGTTTAGGAATTAGTTTTTGTGCTCTTGCCTTATCACCTGCAGGTTTCCTGCGGAGCCCAAGGCGAAGACCCCGGGGAAAATTTTGAACCCCCCAGAAATCCCCCAAACCCGGCAACATGCACCGAAGCCCCCCGAAACATTCGTGTAAACATAACATCTATCTGTATACAGATGTGTATATGTAATATGTATAATACTATATATATATATATATATATAGCAAGAAAAAGTTATAAAACAAGAGTTTTGGATTTCTACGTCAGGGCGCCTTCCCCCGCCACGAATGCGGCTCGAGCATCAGCCGCATGAGGTAAGAGCTGTCGCCTCGGCAACCCTCCCAGAAGAGATCGATTTAGGGTCTAGGGTTTGTGGCTTAGGGTTAGGTTTTAAGGTTTAGGGTTTAGGGCTTAGGGCTTAGGGCTTAGGGCTTAGGGCTTAGGGCTGAGGGCTTAGGGGCTTAGGGGCTTAGGGCTTAGGGCTTAGGGCTTAGGGCTTAGGGCTTAGGGCTTAGGGTTTCGGGTTGCATCACAAAAGCTATGAGTGCTTGGAGGCTACCTTATAGTGTCCCGAAGTCAGGATTACGCCGTAAATCTAGAAACAGTTTAGGGATTCGTTCCGTACAGCACATCAGGATCCCAAGTAAAGAATATTCCGCAATACATAGAAGGCTAAATTAAACCCGAGACCGAAACCCGAAACCCGAAACCCTCAACCCTCAACCCTCAACCCTCAACCCTCAACCCTCAACCCTAAACCCTAAACCCTAAACCCTAAACCCTAAACCCTAAACCCTAAACCCTAAACCCTAAACCCTAAACCAAACCCCAGTCCGAGGCATGGCTTTAGGATCGCTTCAGGGTGGTTCTTGAGCCCCAAAGATTGATCGCCCGGACCCTTAGCCAGAAGATTAGAAGGCGTGTACCGTATATGGCATAGGGTATAGGGTTTAGGGTTTAGGGTTTAGGGTTTAGGGTTTAGGGTTTTAGGCCCGTAGGGTTTAGGGCGTAGGGCTCAATTCTACAATACTCTGGGCGGCGATGCGGTGCGTCGCTCAACCTAATGCCCGAACACCTAAGGCCTCGGGCTGAGGGATGTGGGCTTCACCCTCAGCCCTGAACTCTGAACCCTGAACCCTGATTTGCTAAGGGTGCTGTAGGGCTCCTCAGCCCAGCACGGACACATCCCGGGGAGTAGCTGGCAAAGGTGGACAAGGCCACCTTGAGATAGATGTCTCTCGGCTCCGGTGAGGCCAACATTAGGGTTTTCGGGTTTAGGGCTCCTCGGGACCTATAGTTTAGGTTTAGGGTTTAGGGTTTAGGGTTTGGGGTTTAGGGTTTAGGGTTTAGGGTTTAGGGATACCCGTCTTAAGGCTTGCGGGCCCTTCTTATCATCGGATCTGACACTCGGATGTCGGGGCCCTGCACGCCCTGCGCGCCGTTTTTTGCCCTTACAACCTTGGGATGGAAGAGCCCCCAAATCCCTCAAGGCCCAGGCCACGAAGCTTCAAGGGCTTGGGGGCTTACGGCTTGGCCTAAACCCCTGAAACACTCAGCAACAAGCTAAAGGAGGGCTTCAGGAGGGCATCATGGGCTACCGCTTGGCTTCCAAAGGATTTGATGGTGTGGGGTTTAGGGTTGAGGGCTTAGGGTAAGGGCAACAAGGACCAGAGCTTGCGCCCTCGGGATTTCTGGCTTAGAGCTTACCTTACCGTTTATGCACAAACTGTGCTTTGATTCATGGCGTTTCTGTCTGCACTCCCAGACGCATCGAGCATCTGCCACAGCAGCTCCTGGCAGGGTTTTGGCGCTCCGAACCCCTACGCATGGCAATAGCCATATTGGGGCAGCTCTCTAAATTGGGGTTCCTTTTTTGGGTTCTATATACAGTATGGTACTCCTAACCCTAAACCCTAAACCCTAAACCCTCAACCCTCAACCCTAAACCCTAAACCCTAAACCCTAAACGCTAAACCCTAAACCCTAAACCCTAACCCACCCCCTTGCCTTGGGCAAGGACTGCAGGCCCCTGATGCGGACAAAGAGGGCAAGGCAGTGGCAGCCTGCCAGGAATCGCAGCTGGGTGAGGGTTTATGGGCCTGCGCTAAACCCTGCGCCGGCAAAGGGCTCAGTTCTTGGTTGCTCCATCGTTTGAAGAGTTCAGGGTGTAGGGTCTAGGGTTCAGGGTGTCGTGCTTACTGCACCCTAACACCCAAGAAGAAGGCCGAATCCTTGTCTCCCTAAACCCTAAAACCCTAAACCCTAAACCCACAACCCTGCTTCTGGTTTTCGCACTGTTGCTTCCACCGAAAGGCGCCCTGATCTGACGGCCTCGTCTCTGCAGCATGCTCTCCTCCTCCAAGCGGCTCAAGGCTCAACATGACTTTGATACTTAGGGTTTTAGGGTTTTTAGGGTTTTTAGGGTTTTAGGGTTTTAGGGTTTTAGGGCTTTAGGGTTTTAGGGTTTTAGGGTTTTAGGGTTTTAGGGTTTTAGGGTTTTAGGGTTTTAGGGTTTTAGGGTTTTAGGGTTTTAGGGTTTTAGGGTTTTAGGGTTTTAGGGTTTTAGGGCTTATGTGGCTTGTATTTACTTGATTTTGGGGGGGCTTACGCCAGGAGTGTGGATGGCAATGTGTCCACCCCCAAGTGCGGGTGTGGGTAGGCTTTGGGCTTGGAGGTTTAGGTCTGTATTGCTAAGTGCTCATTTTGGCTCCGATACCTCCCCAAAACCACCAACCCCATAAACCCTCAAAAAACAAACACCCCTCAACTAAACACTAAAACTTAAGGTCCTCAAAACCCTGAAGCCCCTAAACCCCTAAACCCTGAAAACCCTATCAAACCGCTTAAACCCACGAACCCCAAAGCCCCGCTAGGCTGAGCCCCTACCAAGTGTCTCAATGCGCTTGGCGTCCTGGTGGAGCAGCATCGACTGAGGGCCACATAGGGCGGGGCGAAAAAAACCATGAGGGTTTCGGGGCACGCATAGATCTTCACAAAGGCTTATGCTTTAGAGTTGTTGCTGGTGATCCCGGAGATCGACCATGCCGAATCGACACGGGTGGGGATCTGTTTCATGTTCATTCTGCTGGGGGTTTCCCAAACTAGGTTACTTTATTGGGGTCCTTATTATGAGGGAATCCTACTACTTGGGGTACTATATGAGGGGTCCCTTATTTTGGTAAACCCCCTCCTGGAATCGAAAGGGCAGTCTGCAAAGAGATGCCATCAAGCAAGCAAGTGCAATTCACTCATTCACAGTCCGGTCTGCCGAGCATACTTGGGGATCAGTCAACACCGAGAGGTTTAGGGTTTAGGGTTTGGGGTTTAGGACTTAGGGTTTGAAACATAGCATGAAGATTCAACACTTCTGCTGCATTGGGGCGGGAGAACGCATGCAACAAATCGCACAAGCATGATTTGGTAACTTGCAACACACTGCAAAAAAGACCAATCCCCAACAACCCAAAGTCATGGCCGTCCCACACACACGACCTGCAAGCAACGCACAGTCTTACAATGAATTAGGGGGCGTTGTTCTGAATTGCGGTTCCCATATCACTGCCGTTTGTGATAGAAGTCCTTCAAAAACGGAAAATCAAAGCAGCCCTGGCTGAAAACAACCCCCATCCCGAACAATAAGGAGTCGGTAGGCAATCCGAATCCTACTTGTTCAGTCTCCTAGGGGAACTGTAGGTCAGCTTGTGGGCACAACTCTAGGATTAAACCACCAGCGCATCAGCCAAAAGCGGTTTACAGGGGGCACAATAGTTCCTATTAAGGACTGTTAGTAAACAAGGGAACATCCCAACTCTAAATCCTAAACCCTAAACGCTAAACCCTAAACCTTAAACCCCAAACTCCTCTACAAGGAATTCTGAGCCTGCACCACCAAGTCCATCACGAGCGAGGCGTCATGCTCGTTCAACGTATCGGCCTGCAGATGCCTAAAACCCTAGACTCCCGAATTCAATGTATTTGGCTACTTGTCGAAGTCTCTCCCGTTTGAAGGGAGATAACACAGCCAACTACGGCAGCATGAAAGCATGAAATCCATCCCAGTATCAATGGGGCTTCAGGTCTAATGAGGTGCCTGCAACATTCGCCTGACGATGGACGTCTGTGCACAACAGCACTTTCTGCGACCAAGGCAGCGTTTGTCTTTGCTGTTGAACATGCAAACAAAGCACGAGTTCGTTTTGGCCCGCTGTCCCGAAGCCACCACCCACCTGGCGCTCCTGACAAACCTACGACCTATGCAGTCGGAAATTGATGGGGAATGCTGGATTTGTACTGCAGTCTCGTGTGAGACCCATGCTTGGTCAAGCCGACGAGCACTTCGGCAAATGTTCGTCCTACTGTAATGTGCAGTTTATCTGAATCCATGGTGCAGGCTGTACATTCGGCTGTACATTCACAGGCGGATTGCGGGCACCAACAGCCAAACCAACAGCCAGACCCAAGAGGAACCCTGCACCAAACACGACAAGCGCAATGATGCTTCCCTCCTTGACATCCTCGATCTCAATCTTGCCTGCCAGGAGTTCCAAGGCATCTGCGGGCATACGGTCAAACTCACTGCCACAAGCCGCGTGCAGCAATTGGCGCTTCAGACGTTGCTTGAATCCTGGTTTGTCGTTTGCGTACATGTTCTGGTAGTCCAGCTGCATTGTCACCATGATCTTGATGTCGTCGCCGTCACCTTCCAGAACCGCACATTCTGTGCTGCACTCCGTGCGGCTTAGGTATTCTTGAAGGCGCTGACTCAGCTCCTGAGGGGTCGCGGGAACGGCGTGCTCATCGCGGAACACATCAGACATGCTCAACGCAGCCAGGTGCAAGAAGGCACGTTCTTGCTGCAGCTGGGCCTCGACCCGAAATGGCTAGCTCAGGCAGTTGCGTTCGCCTTCCGGAATCAAGCAGTTCGTAACATGTCTCATAGCTGCTATGCAGCAAAAGACCTCGAACTTGCAACGTGGCGAATCGTCTACCATCTCACGCATACAAAGCGATCCTGCTCCAGTCACGATGCACTACAACAGGTGGTGCTCCCTTCTTCGCTCATATTGGTCAATACATCCGAGCTTGCTACCATTTCAGGATGCTAGCACCACACATAGGTGCTAGAGTTTTGAACTTTTCCAGCCCGGCGCCCAGGGTGGAGGTTGCATGGTGCCATACGCCTAAATAGGCAAGACATCCTCTAACTAAGTGAATTAAACTCAAACCCTAACCCAAAACGGAGGGTTGAGTGTTCAGGCTGGGTTCTAGGGGCTTCTCATTGAGATTGGGGTGAAGGGGGGGAGGTTATAACAAGGGACTTGTTTCTGGGGGTCAGGGGTTTTTGGGGTTTAGGGTTTTACGCCTCTTATCCGTCGTTATCAGACGAAAATTCAATTCAGACCACGAAAACCCGCTAAACCCAGGCCCCAACGGCAGAGGCTGGGCCTCTACCCGCTGATGCTGAAGGAGCCACTCGCCTGCCAAAGCACGAGGGCTTTGAACCCTACGCCACAAACCCCATGAACCTTGAACCGTTAAACCCTGAACCCTAAAACCCTAAACTCCAAACCCTACACCCTGAAACCCAAAACCCGCAACACAAAACCCCAAAAAACCTTTAGGGAAGCTTAGATTCTCAGGGATCAAAGAATTCGGGAAAACTTATCCCCCCCCCTATTCTCCTGGTGCGGCTTCGGGTTTAGGTCTTAGGGGTTTAGGGTTTACGGGCTTAGGGTTAAGGGACTGTAGTGTGCGGATGTTTGGCCTTGAACTCGTGGATTTGGGGTTTAGGCATGTAGGGAGTAATAAGCACGGAAAGCGCCGAATGCCTGAACTCCCCATCCTTGACACCCTAAACACCCTAAACACCCGAAACCCCTATACCCAGAAAACACAAAAAACCGAGAAAACCCAGAAAGCCCAGAAAACCCAGAAAAGCTGAAAAAACAGAAAACAACAAAAACACACCCAAAAAAAAAACATAAAAACCCAGAAAACCCAACCCTAAACCCCTAAACCCTGGACCCCAAAAAAAACAGTGCCTGTCACATCGTCGTCGAGGATGTCCTTGGTAGAACTTATGAAAACAAGGGCACCCTTTTTGGGGGTGGGTTACTGTATCAGGGAACCTTGAACCACAAAAAAAGGGGCAAAGAGGCACCGCTGGCCTACCAAGTGTCGATGATGGTGCAGAAGCAGGCGTCCACCGCGATCTCGCTCTGCGAGTTCGCCCGCAGCGCCTGTTGGGGGGTGCAACTTCTTCTTAGGGGGCTTCGGGGGGTTTAGGGGCTTCCGGGATTCGGAGTATCGATTTACGGTTTAGGGTTTAGGGCTTTGGGCTTCTACATTTATCGTCATTCTGTTCCCCTACAAGTCTAGGGCCTTGGGGTCTCAATCGTGAGTTGAGGGCACCATGTGCGACCCAAACATCCACAAGCCCAGGATGGCCCACGCTGTTACTGGTGCTTCTACCAGAGACCCCCAAAAGGTTCTTCAACTTAACTCGGCCTGCACTGGGGTGTAGAGTTGAGGGCTTCGAGTTTAGGGCCACCGCGTGACTTCAAGAACACACACACACACAATCTCAGGGACACCTATCAAGCCCTCATGTAAACTTTTGAAATGGGCATTTCAAAAAACAGGGGTACTGTACCCCTTCCCCTTGAATACCCCAAATAGAATAGCATCCCCTTAAAGGGACCCCCAAAAAGGGTACCCTTATTTTCCGAAACCCCCAGATTGCAAACCTTCAACAGCATGAGCTTCCCCAGCGCTGAACACCGACCTCGGCTCTGAAGATATTGAACTCAACATCAAACTCGACAGTCCCACCTCTGAAGGCACCCAAAGAAACCCCAAACCCCCCGAAACCCTAAGCCCTAAAAACCACAAAGCCGGCTAAACCGGCAAACCCTAAACCCTAAACCCTAAACAACAAACCCTAAACAAAGGACGCCAAACCAACAAAGCCGATCCTGCACAACGTAGGGAAGCCCAACCATGGACGCGGCGCACCACGTGGCATACCTTGAGGGTTTGTTTAGGGTTTAGGGTTTCGGGTTTAGGGTTTAGGGCTAGGGTTTAGGGTTTAGGGTTTAGGGTTTAGGGTTTAGGGTTTAGGGTTTAGGGTTTAGGGTTTAGGGTTTAGGGTTTAGGGTTTAGGGTTTAGGGTTTAGGGTTTAGGGTTTAGGGTTTAGGGTTTAGGGTTTAGGGTTTAGGGTTTAGGGTTTAGGGTTTAGGGTTTAGGGTTTAGGGTTTAGGGTTTAGGGTTTAGGGTTTAGGGTTTAGGGTTTAGGGTTTAGGGTTTAGGGTTTAGGGTTTAGGGTTTAGGGTTTAGGGTTTAGGGTTTAGGGTTTAGGGTTTAGGGTTTAGGGTTTAGGGTTTAGGGTTTAGGGTTTAGGGTTTAGGGTTTAGGGTTTAGGGTTTAGGGTTTAGGGTTTAGGGTTTAGGGTTTAGGGTTTGCCGTTTTAGCCGGTTTAGCGACTTCCTGGAGATTGCGGGCTTGGAGGTGTTTGTCTTGTGTGTCTTGGCCAGCATGCGAAACTCCCAGCCAAAAGGCCACCCAAAACTCGAACCACAAACCCCTCAGCCCGTCAACCCCTCAACCCCTCAAGCCCTCAACCCGTCAACCCCTCAACCCCTCAAACCCTCAACCCCTCAACCCATCAAGCCCTCAACCCAAAGGCCTCGATACACCGAGCCCCGAAGCCAACCCAACCCAAAACCATGAGGCGCTTTTGCCCGGGTTTAGTACGCAAGGCACTTGGGTGGTTCTTTGTGCTTTGGACTTGGGGTTCAGCTGGGACATGAAGGGCTAGCGGTTCAGAATGTTCGTTGTTTCGCAGCTGTTTTGTCCCACAGCCCTTGAAGGGACGGTGGCCCGTCCGGAAGCAGATTGACGGCTTGCATGCCCACGTGAATGAGGGGCGGCTGTTGCTGAGGATGCTAGCCGAGAGGTCTGAAGCAGGGTTTATATTTCTTGTACCCCCAAAAGGACACCCCAGTTATGCACTCACCAATATTAAAAAGGAACCTTATATACACTCACCAAAAACAGTAATACGTACCCTGCTTCATATGTTTGGAGATTGGGCCTCTGGAAATCATGGGGCGATAGTTTTGCACATGCAGCTTTTTTCCGGAAGGCGAGGGCTTAGGCTTCAGGATGTTGAGATTCTTCGAACAATACTTCCCGGCCCCCCACACCCTAAACCCCGAAACGCCGAAACTGCAATCCGCCGGCACCCGGCTGCACACAGGTGGAGCCCTGACCCTTTTCTGTTTGCGGGGTAAGGCGAATCAGGATTGTTTGGGGTCTTGGGTTTTGGGCTTGAGGTTTAGGCTTCGTTTAGCGGCAAAAGCCCGAAACCCCCCAAAACCTTAAAGCCAAACCAGGACTCCAGTATCTTTCTGTCTGCCTAGGGTGCCCTAACATACGCCCAGAACGAACCCCAAAGACTCCCGAAATGCTGAACCCTAAACCCCAAACGCGAAACCCTAAACCCGAAACCCTAAACCCTAAACCCTGCCAACTCCCCAGAGAACGAGCGCTGCCAAAGGCGCTTCATGGCCCGGCGGTTCGGCAAAAACTCTGGCATCCTCCCAGGCTCTGTGGTCAGGAAGGAGGTAGTTGTTGAGGGTTTAGGGTTTAGGGTTTAGGGTTTAGGGTTTAGGGTTTAGGGTTTAGGGTTTAGGGTTTAGGGTTTAGGGTTTAGGGTTTGGGGTTTGGGGTTTAGGGTTTAGGGTTTAGGGTTTAGGGTTTAGGGTTTAGGGTTACGGGTTAGTGTTCAGGGTTAGGGTCGGGTTCAATTGTCTAGTGTTTGGGTTCCGGGCCGTGAGTAGCAGCTTTGCATAGATTTTCTACCAAACCCTAATCCCGACACCCCAAACCCTAAACCCCGAAAGATGCGAAGGCGAAGCTCGGCTCAGCAAGCCCTCGATCCCCAAACCCAGAAATCCGATCACCCCCGCCTTCAAAACCCTCCCAAACCTACTATCTAAGGGCGGCTTGATGTATGGGCCCTTGGGTTGTATAGGGTATATAAGGGGTACATAAGGGGTCCCCTTTTACGTAACTACCCTAAGACCAAACCCACTAAACCTAAACCCCCCCTACTTGGAGGTTTCATGGTACTTGGCAACCCATGTATGACTGTACTTATAGCCAACTTACAGGCCCCTTAGGTGCCCCAAGATGGATAGAAGTACAGTTATAAGTACAGCTACGATTGGTTCATTAGTACCATGAGCCTTCCAAGTAGGCCCTAAATCCTTTGACTCAAAGGCAGCGAGGAGCCGTGAAAGCGGGTTCTGGGGCGTGCTGGGATCTGGTGGCTTTTGGGGGTTTGGGGGTTTTGGGGGTTTTGGGGGTTTTGGGGTTTTGGGGATTTTGGGGTTTTGGGGGTTTTGGGGGTTTTGGGGGTTTTGGGGTTTTGGGGGTTTTGGGGGGGTTTGGGGGGTTTGGGGGTTTTGGGGGTTTTGGGGGTTTTGGGGGTTTTGGGGTTTGGGGGTTTTGGGGTTTTGGGGGGGCTCAAAACTCATCACCGTTTTGCTCTCCGTGCGTGCTCTGTCAAACGGAACCACATGGTGAACACCATCGCAGCATCAGGCTCTCAGCGGCGGGCTATTCAGAGGTCGAAAGCCCAAGTATGCAAACCGCGTCGCAACTTTCACTCTAGTCAGCGCTCTACCGCGAGGCCCCTTTCGTCTTCGGATCCTCCAAGGACCCTCAACCCTCATCCCTAAACCCCCACACTCTAAACCCTCAAGGGCCACCTTGAATTCAAGATCATACGTCAAGGTCATTGGTCATAGGCTCAGCCTAAAAAGGACAGAGAGGGGCCTCTGCAAGCCAAGCGGACACGCCTCCAGCCTCAGAAAGGGCCTGGGCTCCACGCCGGCTTGTGAAACAGAGCGCGAGAGGCCTTACCTGTTGCCGATCAATGGTGACGATGTGTCGCGTGCACGAGATCCTGGGCCAGGGTTTGCTGGCTGGTTCTTATTGAATGAGGTACCCTATATAGCCCCTTACAGGGTATGGGCCCCAATTCCTCATTCCCTGCTAAGAACCTGGGGTTTGGGGTTCAGGGGTTTATAGGGTTTACGCGCAAATCTCGGCGGGCCAAAACAAGCCCAACACAAGGAAGCTCGAAAACTGGCTGGTTCTTAGTAGGGAATAAGGGAACGAGGGCGGCCCTACATAATCCCTTAAAGGGTATATATAGAGCCCTCATTCCCTCATTCCCTACTACTGTAAGAACCCAGGGTGAAAAGCCAAACTGCGGCCGGCATGCCTTGTTGTCCCACGTCAGGGTCTTGAGGTAGTGCACAATGTCCACGCGGGTCTGGAAGTCGTCAATGCCGCGGAAGTTCATCTGGCAATGGGCTTCAGCTTTTCTAGGTCTTAGTTTTAGGGTTTCAGGGTTTAGGGTTTCGGGTTTAGGGTTGGGGGTTTAGGGGTTGCTTGTTTGCAAGTATCACTACTACTGCCGGCCCCCCTGACCTGCACGTTCACGCCGGTAGTCTGGCGCGGGTTCTTCATGTATCTCATGAGGTTCGCCGCGTCCCACACCAAGCCTCCGTGGATTTCTGAGAGCTCAGCTCTTGGAGACCCCTGTTGAATGAAGCCTGTTGGGCCCCAAAACTCCAAAGCCCCCCGAAAACATGTAAGTCCTCGGGCCTCAGCAAGGCTTTCGGGCTTTATCATAGCTTCTTCCCCGAACATGCAATCCCGACTTCTCACTCACTAGCTAGCCCCAGGACTTACCTTGAAATCAACAGGGTGCCCTTTTTGGTTTTAAGGGGGTGATAAGGGAACCCCCAGCCAAAAAAAAGGGAAATAAGGGCCTACTCCGGGTCCTAGTTAGGGTGAATCGGGCCTAATGCAGCTAGGACTTCAGGAGTTGGTCAGATCTCTGGGTCGGTAGTCCTTGCTTGGGTTGAGGGTCTAGGGTTTAGGGTTTAGGGTTTAGGGTTCAGGATTTAGAGTTTAGGGTTTAGGGTTTAGGGTCTAGGGTGTAGGGTTTAGGGTTTAGGGCTTACAGGGCCTGGTGGCTTAGGGGCAGCTGACGGAAAAATGTGGTGTCAACAGGGACCCGAAGAAGCGGATCACAAATTTGGAGGACTGACCTTTTGGGAGTTGTTCTAAGTGATGACCCCGTTGGGGGGTTTGTAGTGAGTTTAGGGGTTTAGGGCTCAGGGTTTCGGAGTTCCATGCGGGAAACCAGAAAAACGAAACACGAAAGAAGAAACTGGCCATTGAAGAGCTTGAGTTGGAGGTTTACGAGAATAGGAACCCAGAAAATAGACCCCCAAACCCCCAGTTGTTTTTGGCTCGCGCCTTTGGCCCTCCCTCCCATGATGTTCTTCTGTGCAATCTCCGCCTCGCCGCTTGCCTGACTGGCTCTTAGTACGTTAATCTAGGGTTTAAGGTTTAGGGTTGAGGGTTTAGGGTTTAGGGTTTAGGGTTGAGGTTTCAGAGTTCAGGGGTTTTGGGGTATAGGGTTTAGGGCTTCAGGGTTTTGGGGTGTAGGGTTTAGGGTTTAAAGGGGCGCCCTGAACCCCAAACTCCAAATTCTCAGAACTGGCGAGTCACTCGGCCGTAGATGTTGAAGAGGGTGGGGCCATAAACCGTGCCAGAATCAGTCCGATTGTCCTTACCCCAAAGAAGAACCCAACACCTACAAGTAGGCCGCCCAAAGGGCGCCCCCAACTTCCGAAAACCCTCAAACTCCAACCCCCAGAATCCGCAAAAGAAATTTAAAAACAAAAACAAAAAGACAAAAAACAAAAAACACACGCAAAAAAAAACAAAAACGTGTGCCAGCCACCCCCAAGTCTCCGGGAAGATGGAGTGGCACTGCGCGCAGTGCTTCTTGAAGAGCTTGTGGCCCTTCTGGGCATCCCCGGCTGGCAGCTCGAAGCCTTCCGGGACGTCGCTCATGTCCTTAGTTGTCCAGTCTCGGGCTTAGGGTTTCGGGTTTAGGGTTTAGGGTTTAGGGTTTAGGGTTTAGGGTTTAGGGTTTAGGGTTTAGGGTTTAGGGTTTAGGGTTTAGGGTTTAGGGTTTAGGGTTTAGGGTTTAGGGTTTAGGGTTTAGAATGCCCCTAAAAGGGCTAAAGGCTGCCGACTCTACTACAAGCGTCGCTCCTCACCTTGCCTCCGCCGGCGTTGTTGCCCAAGGATCCTTCCAAGGCCATAACGCGGAGTCGAAGGGGACGGAAACAGCGAAGGCGGGACTGAGCGACACAACTGTGCAAATGGCTTCGTTGAGCTGCAAAAGTCCCGATGCCCCCCCCCCCCCCCCTCCACCGAGTCGAAGGCTCTTCTAAACCTTAAACCCTAAACCCTAAACCCTAAACCCTAAAACCCTAAACCCTAAACGCTAAACCCGAAACCCTAGCTTGCGTCTGCTGAGGGGCGAACTTCGGGCTTTGGGAGTGGCAAAAGGAGACTCCGCAGCCCTGAGCTTCTCCTGAACACCCTCAAGCCCGACCCTAACTGCCCTAAGCCCCTCCTCTGTTTGGGGTTTTTCTGTTTAGGGTTTAGGGTTTAGGGTTGAGGGTTTAGGGTTTAGGGTTTAGGGTTTAGGGTTTAGGGTTTAGGGTTTAGGGTTTAGGGTTTAGGGTTTACCCTAGACCTTTTGTCAACCTCTCTCAAGCCCCTGCGATCGCAAGGCCCTGCAAAGAGGTCCTGGCCGTGATGATCTGCTCCAACCCCAGCTCCCGAAGCTTGCCTCTAGGGTTTAGGGGGTTAGGGTTCAGGGTTTAGGGTTTAGGGTTCAGGGTTCAGGGTTTAGGGTTCAGGGTTGAGGGTTTCGGGTTTAGGGATTAGGGTTTCGGGTTTAGGGTTTAGGGGTAGGGTGATACGGACTACAGGGCTTTTAGGGTGCTCAGAACAGCCCCCAATCGCAATTCAAGTGTTGCTGCGGGCTTTAGGGTTTAAGGCTTAGGGTTTGGTGTGGGCTGCAGTATTTTGAACGACTGCAGTGACTGTACAGCACGGTTGAGCTGGCGATGTCAAGGTTCGTAAGTTTCAAGCTTTTAGGTTCGGGCGATCGGTTTAGGGTTTGACTTGGGGGTTGAGGCCCTCAGTGCAACACCTGGGAACTGCCGACGTTGGGGCCGTTTCGTTCGACGAGCAAACCCCCATGAGACATGAGACCACCCTCGACCCCGGGCCCTAAAGTAACCATGGGTCAGAGGGTTCAGAGGGTTCAGAGGGTTCAGAGGGTTCAGAGGGTTCAGAGGGTTCAGAGGGTTCAGAGTGTTCAGAGGGTTCAGAGGGTCAGAGGGTGCACACAGTTCAGAGGGTTCACACACAGGGTTCACACACAAGGCTCGAACGGTTCACAGGGTTCACAGGGTTCACAGGGTTCACAGGGTTCACAGGGTTCACACAGTTCACAGAGTTCACAGAGTTCACAGGGTTCAGGGTTTTGGAGTACAGGGTGTAATCAAGGGTCTAGGGAGTCTAGGACTTCAGGGATTCGACGTTCAGGGTTTAGGGGGTGGGGGGGTTGGGGCGTACGGGTTGCCCTAAACCCTAGACCCGAAACCCTGAACCCTAAACAGGGCCTAAGACCATCCGGCGCCTCGCCAGGCCGCGCTGGCGCTCGCCACCTGTCCGACAGGTTGCTAGGGTTTGGGGTTTGGGGTTTGGGGGTTTGGGGTTTGGGGGTTTGGGGGTTTGGGGTTTGGGGGTTTGGGGGCTTGGGGGCTTGGGGGATTGGGGGGCTTGGGAGGCTTGGGGGCTTGGGGGGCTTGGGGGGGCTTGGGGGGCTTGGGGGGCTTGGGGGGCTTGGGGGGCTTGAAAGGCTTGGGGTTTGGGGTGTAAGGTTTCGGGGGTTGACGCGGACTTGGAGTCAATGCGATCCACATGAGTGACACAGCTGATGCTTGTAATCAGTGTGGTCTGTGGTTTGGGGCTTGGGGGTTGCGGGTGCAGGGTATGCGGTGTTTGGGGTTTAGGTTGGGTCCTGCCCCCACCCATTAACACAGTCAATAATAGGGGTTTTGTTGGGGGCTACTATATAGTGCGATTACAAATATTTTCCAACTCTTAATGAGTGGGGGCAGGACCCAAGGTTTAGGGTTTAGGGTTTGGGATTTACGGTTTAGGGTTTAGGGTTTAGGGTTTAGGGTTTAGGGTTTAGGGTTTAGGGTTTAGGGTTTAGGGTTAGGGTTTAGGATGGTTGAGGGGTAATTCACCTTCCCCAGCTCGTCGACGAGGCTCTCGAAGCATTCCAACTTGCCTGCGCAGGGCTTTGGGCTCCCACGACATAGGGTTTACAGTTTAGGGTTTAGGGTTTAGGGTTTAGGGTTTAGGGTTTAGGGTTTAGGGTTTAGGGTTTAGGGTTTAGGGTTTAGGGTTTAGGGTTTAGGGTTTAGGGTTTAGGGTTTAGGGTTTAGGGTTTAGGGTTTGGGTTAAGGGAGCAATCATTCTTGTTGCTACTGCCATTTCTTGCGTACCGTCATGATTCATCACAGCGACCATGAAGACGGGATACGCTGCGCTCCGGTCCTCAGGCCCTCTCACCCTGAACTCGAAACAAGGAAGAGGGTTGCGACAGGTTTCATGAGTTCAAATCACAGGTCATAGGGTTCCTCAGCTTCATCCCCAAAATAATCCTTACAACCTGGGGATACCCCTCTGGGCGGGCAGTTGAGGGTACCTTATGGCTAAAGGGGCCCTCGGTTGAGTTCGATCCTTATGAAACGATTCATGGTTCTTCTGCACGCGGAACCGCAGTACAACTTTGCGTACCATCGCAACATGCAAGTCCGCCTCATACGGCAAAAAAAATCAGTGCCCGAACCTGAATACTTGTCACGAGCTCAAACGTTTGCGCATAGTTTGTTATGGGCATTTGGGGGTCCCCTAAGTAAAGCCCTAAAAGACTAGAAACCTTCATACGGCAGACGCCAAACAGGGTACCCCTAGTGGGAACCCCATATCGACCAGCACTTTGTGCTTTCGTATCTTGGGGTCTCGATGACCTTGACTATGAAAATCTGTTGAGCTGAGTAAGGCATTGGATGGCTAAAGTCGAAAAAACGATGAACACTAAACTACTCCAGGGTGTAGGCGCGCGCTAGGCTTTAAGGTTTTAGGGAGGCCGATACCAACTACAGGAGTCGTAGCTTGGGTCGCCCGCGGTTTGGGGTCCAGGGTTGAGGGTTGAGGGCTTCGAAAGCCTTCATCCTTCAACCCCCAAATCATTCAGAATCAAGGCTCTTAATGCAGCTTAAGCAACAAGGAAAGAGTGCAAAGTATTTCAAGATTGGAGACCGCCCTAGCCCCAGACTGGGCTTTGGGTCGACAACTCCTTCTCACATCTTCTAAGGCTCCAAGGGGCCGGAAGCACCCCAACACATTCACGCCAAGGGATGTTGGGCTGAGAGTTGAGGCTTGTGGCTTTAGGCCTTCGGTCTAGCGCTTGCTGTAGGAGCCTTGATCATTAGAACAGGGTGTTATTCTAGTGCATTTGTAAAAGGGACCATAAAGGGAACACTATTAGCAATTCCTCCGACCCCTCTAGTAGGGCCTCAGGGCCTCTGATTCTGAGGTGCCCGGCCTTTGAACTTCTTGGGATCTGCACCGGGGAGCTCCACCTGCAGCACTGGGCGAGCGCTGGACCCGGGCTCCGACCCGGGGCTTGAGTTGGGAGGTTCCCCCCTTATACTAGCAGTCCCGAATAGGGATTACAACTGTTCGTATTTAGGGGGAACATCCGAAGGCTTCAGTGTTTAGGCCTTAGGATTTTTCAAAGGTCTCGGGGTTCAGCGTTTTGAGGTTTGGCCACGGGCTTCGGGGTCTTGGGTGTAGGGTTTGGGGTTTTAGGGTTTAGGGTTTAGGGTTTGGGGTTCAGGGTTTTAAGTTTAGGGTTTCGGGCTTAGGGCTGCGAGCAGAAGACTCTTATGTCGAAGAGCAATCGAAAGCCCAAATGCCGGGTGCTGGCGCTGCCGAAACCCAACCCTCCAAGCCCCCTAAACCCTCTGACCCCCAAAACCCCCAACACCCTTCGCTCAACGCCCTTGCAAAACCCTGCTTAAGAGCTACTTCCCTCGATCCTCCTCCGAACCCCCCCCCCCCCCCGAAGACATTGGGGGGATCAAGGTCCTCAACTCTTCCGTGCCCAGAGGCCTGCTTCATGTGGTTCACAAGGATCCCAACAGACTTGTCCAGCACCTCCACTCGCTCCCCAAACGCTAAACTTTGCTCAACCCTCAGAAACTGATGTTTAGGGCTTCGGGTTTAGGGTATTTTGGGTGGAAACAAGAACCGGCTCCAATCAGCGGGGTGTTGGGCTTCGCGCTGGATGGAAGGCTGAGGGCTGCGGGTCTCTGCGGGTCCTGCAAGTCCTGAAACGCCAAGCATCGCGCTGTGCTCAAGAAACGCTGCCAACCCTGTAAAAACCTACAAACCCCTGCAAACCCTACTGGTAAACCCATACACCCCAGTAAACCCTCCTCCCCTAAGTCCCTGCTTGCAACTTGGGGTTTGAGGTTTCGGACTTCAAGCATCTGCCCAGGCTGGGCCTCTGCCTGGCCAGGGCAAAAGTGCCTCACAGAGGCAAGCGGCAAGCTCTTGCCCTTATGTAGCTGTCGGACTTGGGGGGTTGGGATTTGGTGTTGCGGTTGAGCCTTGGGGCTTCGCGTTCTTGGAGTTCTTGCGGGATTTTGTTTGGGGGTTACCCAGAGAAGCTGCAAACTGGCCTCAATGTCATCTCATGAAAAGAATAGCTGCTGGAAACTGAGGCCTTGAACCCCCGACTTTAAAAAAGACCTGAAGCCCTAAGCCCTTCCTGACAGCCCTGAACTACCTTCGGCCCCTGAAGCTTAAACTCCCGAAGCCTCCCGACCCAGAAACCCTAACCCCTAAGCCCTAAACCCTAGGCCCTGAAACCCTGAAACCCTGAAACCCTGAAACCCTGAAACCCTGAAACCCTGAAACCCTGAAACCCTGAAACCCTGAAACCCTGAAACCCTGAAACCCTGAACCCTGAAACCCTGAAACCCTAAGTTTGCAACCCCACGGTCGAGGGGCCAGATGATGCGCCGCGTGGCGCTGCAGAGGGCGTCGCCTCGGGCAACTTCCCAAGGGCCAAGCCCCGAACAAACCCTGATCCCCAAGACACCTTACATCCCAACCGGAATCCCAAAACCGATGCCCCAAGCCCTACCTTCAAGCCCAAACT